TGGGGGGCAACTCGACAACAGCAGCTTGTTGCCCCTTTTACTGTGGCAACCGCCATGGAAATGGAATGGAAATGTGCCAATCATATCACACACATGCCCCACGGTGGGACAGCAGTCACACAGTCACCAGTTGGACAGTTGGACAGTTGGCGACCCTTTGCGGGGGAGCCTGTCTGCCTGTCGTGACACAAATTCTGCTGATTGGCAGCCAAAATGCGATTAGGTTGCAGTCCCATTCCCAGTCTTTCCACTTCTCGTAGCTGCTGCTGGCTGTTGGCTTCAAGACTGCCTTTCTACATGCTCAAAATTTGCATTTTTTTGCGGGGTTTTCCTGCTGTCTAAATGGCGCTTATCGCATTGTAAAAAGGCAAATTTTAGCCGCAGAGCAAAGAGCGAACGAGCAGCAAAAGCATCAAATTGTAATCCTCTTAGTTGGCCAACAACAGGGGCCAAAGTGTCCTGCCAGCTGGCCGAAAAACTTAATTTTGTGCAGCGCCAAACAGCGCCAGCCAGCGCTGTAATTACCACATAAATTCCCCTGCAAATTGCTCGCTTCACCAGAAAGGTCCTTGCCCGCAGGCCAACAGACATCAGAGCAGAAGTTTGTGTCGAAGTTTTGATACCTTTTGTAAACAAATATTAGACACTTATCGTGCACAAAAGCAACCGTAAATAATTGACTTTTAATGTAAATATTTAAGAAATATTAGCCAAAAATATATAAGCTACTCTTTGGATAGATATTCCCGCACTTTTCTAGAGTCTCAGCTGAGCTGAGGTCAGACATTAAGGAGAATTTTTGGCATTAGCTTTGCCATTGCAAAGTGACCTGCGGTCACTGGGCGCCAGTTAATCCCACGACATATGTATGTATGTAGGGGAGGCTACGAATTATCACTGGCTGTTGACCGCAACTCTGACTGGAACCAAAGACAGAGAGAGAGAGTGTCGAGCAGAGCGACTGTGGCTGGAAAAATAATAGGTTTATGCCACCCAAAATGGCAGAGGGCGCAAGTGATTGATATGCAGGACATGTTCTGCCACAAGACAAACACACGCACACCCCCACATGGCTCATGGCTTTAAGTGCTTAATGTTTGATGTTCGGTTCGTCTGTCTGCCTGCCTCTCTGTTTGCCTCTCTTTCTGTCTCTCGCGTCTTTCTGTCTGCATGTTCGTGCGTGTCCGACTGTCGCCCCAACAGCACTTTCGTTTGCATTGGCAAACGGACAAAGGGAGGGGGCCAGTTAGGCAAAAGCTTTAATTGGGGATGGAATGGACTTGCTTTGAGCGTAACTGACACAATTATTGGTTATTGTTAAACATTGATTAAGGTTAAATCAGAACATAATTGAGGCACAACGACTGTTTACAGTGTCACTCCGAGAGCAGAAAAGTATCCGCTCAAGCACTCAGCTGGTAGCGGGGGACACGGCTGCAGCATCTTCACATCATTTGCATATGCACTTGGGCTTATCTGGTCATTTCCTATGTTCTTTGTCGCACACAAGCACCCAAGAGAGTAGGGAGAGCCAAAGCAGAGCTAAAGCGTGGAGAAGAGAGATAAAACAGATAAGGAGAAGCAGCTCAATGGCCCTGCAAATGTGCAAAGAGCGAAACGCTTTAGTAGCTTGCTTTCTACATCTATTTTGTTGTTGTATTATTTTGAATGTCCCCTCCCACACATATTCCCAGCTGACACCTGGCCGGATGCCAACTGATGCTGCCACAGCCACTCAGCCACTCAGCCACCAGTCCAGCATTTGTAATTGCATTAGAGAGCAACTCACTGCGCGCCCTTTGCACTCCTATTCCCCATTTGCCGACAAAGAAAATCCCCATACCTAAGGCCAGCTTTAAGTGGCCCTTTGTGCTGCACGCACTGACTGCCGCGTCCAAAGTTGTGCCGCGCGGCACTCGGGCAACAATGTGTATGCATACGCAAGGTAAGAGTCCCTGCCATACTCTCTTGGCTCTCGACAACGTAACTGACAATTAAAACCAAGCCGTAAGCCAGCAGCAAAGCAGCAGCAACATTGTGGCACGTTGAAGTGCATGCAACTATTTTTGCATTCCAGCCCCAACCCCAAAATATACTGCGGGAGGGGGGAGGGAGACGATACATTGTATCGGCAATGGGCCCCCCTTACGCTTCAATGGCTGCTGCTTGCTCTTACTGCTTGCTGTTACTGCTTGCCCTGCTTGCCGCTGCTAGTACTGCTTGCCGCTGCTAAGTGGTAAGCTAATACGTTCATTGTGATCGCCACTCAAGTGTATTCTCTATGCATTGCTGGACATTCCATCAGCTCCATTGGCCATTGTGGCGCAGATTGCTTTTATAATTGAAAATACTCAAATTACAGATTGCATTCAAAGTGGCAAAGCGGTAAGCAATAACTGGAATGATGCTGCCATAAAAATGACTGCAGTAGAAGCCAGGAAGACAATTGTTGAAGGACTCCGTCTGACTCCGTCTGGCACATGTACCCATTCTACCCAGTAAATTCTAATTAAAATCTGCGTGCCAGGTGGCAAATAAAACTAATTATATGTGCCCAATTTTGCCCTGCTGCAAGTGCAAAGTGAGAGAGAGACTCTAAAATTTGTCAGAGACAACTGCTTCGCCGCCCTCCCTCCATCGTATTCAAGTGAACTCTGTTGGCAAATGGAAAAAGTTTCAGCCACGACTCAACTGTGTCTGGCGCTGAAGTCTTTTTATTTCGGGTTTGAGTTTGGGCTAAAAGCAAAAATCCAACAAAAATAGAAACGCAAGAAAAACCAGAGGCGAAACTTTCAGCAAAAACTTTGACCGGCAGCAGGCGAAAGAGGAAAAGGATTGGGGAGAGGGTGCAGACTCCCCCTGGCAGCTGACAGTTGGGCGGGAAATCAATGATGCAGCAGCCATTCTTCTAAGACCTTCTAAGCTCAATTATTGCAGGACAAAAGACAAAAGCGAAACAAATATGGACAGAAGGAGAGCGATAGAGAGAGGGAGAGCTGGTAGAGATAGAGAGACAAAAGCCTGGGCCATTGTGGATGACTATATTGTAGGGCAATTTCCAGTTTAATGTGCGTCCCCAAAAGGCAATTTCAAATGGAAAAATGGAACAAAATCGAACAGAGGCACAGAACACACACACACACACAGACGAAAATATAAAATTGAATATGAAAAAGATGTTAGATGTACGGAATGGCTGGATAGATAGAGAGATAGACGAACAGAAAGATAGATCTCAATTCAATTTCATTTTCACATTGATCGATGTGCGCGCCAAAGTAGGCAACGAATATTTTTGAGGCAAATTCAATTTCCAAAGCTTTTCCCCCATCAAAGGGGAATTGGAAAATGGCTAGAAATAAGTGCAAATCCACACACACAGAGACACACAGAGACACACAGTGTATTTCTGCTGTAGATTTATTCACTTGTTCCCGTATTTTATGCTGTATTTTTGGGTGTAAGTCAAATTTAATTTACTGCTACTGCCGCGCCCATCCACCACCACCTCCTGCAGCACCTAGAGCACGAGGGAAAACTTTGATCAAAGCTCTGCTGAAAATTGCCTTTGTCAACACACATGCTTGTGTGTGTGTGTGTGTGTGTGTGTGTGGCAAAAGCTGCAAGAGAAATGTACTAAAAATTGTTCAAAAACATTGGTCGAGTGTGGGTGCAAAATATGGCAAACACTTTTGTTGTATGCTCATTTTTTTTGTGGAGGAGGTTGCGTTTTTGTTTTCTCTATCTATGGAAACTCCATCAGTGCCGCCTCTCCCTCGCTCCTGCCGCTCTGTGCTGACTCTCCAGACAAAGCGTTAAAGCGTTAAGCGCCATTAAAGCCAAGTCTCATCTCTGCTCTGGCCTTCTGTGTGCGATAAATGTCAATTACATCTCTGGCCAATAAACAACACAAAGTTTTACAACAGTTTTCTGTATTCTGTATTCTGTTTTCTGTATTGTTGCAGCAGCACAAAATCCCATTAAACGCATTGCGCATACGCCCCGTAGCACGAGCGAGATGGAGAGCAAGTCTTATGGCTGACAAATTGAAGGAACATTCCGCTTATGTGCGAGACACAACAAACACAATCGACGAAAATAAATCTACGCTCTGATTCATTCGTACCGCAGAGTCCTGCGTCCTGCGTCCGCAGTCCGTGTCCGTGTCCGTGTCTGTGTCCGTAACGAGCGGCAAAAGTGGGCCCCAAATACGGATTTATGCCCCGCTGATAAATTGAATTTCACTCAAAATTAACTGTAAGCCAAAGCAAAGAACGTGCCACAGAAACATCTATGCCACATATGTGGCCCATAAAATGTGACAAGAAAACTAACGAAGGAAGGAAGGCAGGGACACTAGGGGCTTAGACTTTGGCTAAAACAACACACACACGAATGAAATTAGGGGCAAATACCCAGAGAGAGAGAGAGAGACAGAGTGGGAACGCCACTTGTCCTGACAATTGCCAAAGCATATTTGTCATCTGATTGATTTATTTGGCAGCTGCAAAGATTGTTGGCTTTTGGATGCTTGGATTGTTGGTTTCTTGTGGCTTGTGCCAAGCACTTTCCTTGCCTTGTCACATCAAATCTACATCTCCGCTCATTAGGGTCCAGATTTCCATAATGTAGTGGCAGAAGTGGCCACAGGACACGGGACACAAGCAGCCAGCCAGCCAGCAACCAGCACATAAAAATGCAAATAAAAGTAAATGCAACTTCTGCGGGGAAAAGTGGTTGTCCCCTCACTTTTGATTACTAAATGAGATGCACTACGAGTCAACTCTGAACTACCAGACGACATGCAGGCGGGCAGACTATGGTGGATTGTTGGGGTCACAAAAGGTCAGCGTTCGGTGTGGATTTGGTTGGTTGGTTGGTTGGTTGGTTGGTGGTGGATCTATTTAAAATGTGATTCAGGTGCTAGATTTTTCCTACTCCATAATTGATCAACTGTGGGTTGGGGTTGCTGTTGGTTAAGCGGAGAATGTGCCACCCACCTGTGGAGTATCGCGGCGTTGAGGCTGCGCCGGCGGCATCGCTGCTGGCAATACACCCGCCATAGGAGAAGTGATGACTGCTCGAGCCGGTGCCAGAGACAACGGCTATTTCCTCCAGCTCATGGCCGGGCGAGGTGCCGGCCGATACCAGGCGGGTGGAGGATGTCGCCGAATTGCCCTGCGAGTTCTTGCGTCCACGTAGCGAGAGCACCAGCCTTTTGGCTGTGGACATGCCCTCCAGCTTGTTGTCTAGCAGAATGCGGATGCCGCTCTCACTCTTCCGCTCTTCAATGGCTGCTCCTGCAAGTGCAAAAATTGAAAATGGAAAATGCTAAATGCTAAATGGAAATGAGAAACTTTTTCAATATTCTCCCAGCGAGCATCCGCCCCAGCTCCTTCTTCGCTATTTATTTCGTTAATAATTTAGAAGGAAAAGCTTCAAAGAATATGATAATTTCACCCCCCCCCCACCAAAAGCACAACAAGAACAGGGGGGGGAGGTGAGCATGGAATTTTCATTTTCATTTTCATGCTCTGCCAGTTTCAAGACAATGAAACAACTAGAAGAGAACGAGTGGAGCGAGTAGAGCGAGGAGCGAGTGGAGCGCAGTCCTTAAATTATGCAAATGCCTGCAATCAAAACTTAAGAAATGCCACAACAAAAAACGAAATATGTTTGAAAGGAGAGCTATCCAGACATTTGCATATGAAGGGGGAAAGCGGCAACGATGATGCCGCATTAAATATTGAAACTATAAACAAATATTTCTGACAAATAAAAGCAAAGAAAATCAGCTGTAAGGAATATTCCCTTTCATTAACTCGTTTCATAAAATATCCTCAACTTAAAGTAATGAGAATAATTCTGAATTCTAATAGCACTGAGCTCTCGCTCTTTCTGTAGCTCTCTGACGTATCTTTCTCTGTATTTGTGTGCTCTTTAGGGTTTTGGGTTGCTAAAGCCGCTTAGCGCAAGAAAAGAAACAAGCAAACAGCAAATGATAGACACACGCACACACGCAGTGGGACATCCTAACAAAAATAATATAAATAAATGTCTACACAAAAAAATGTCTATCTTTTAGAGGCAACAAGACCGAGCTCCCGCAACCGCTTGCCTTATCATTTTAATATTTAATAAGCATTTCGCAGAATGGAGCAGGCCGTGTAGGAAGGAGTGTGGAAACCCCGAATGAGGGGAGGACTCCCTCTCCTACACAGATATTCAGTTGAGTGTAAACTTGATAAGTTGTCGCTCTGGCAAAATGTACAACATATTGTGTGTGGATTTAGCAGGGGAACTGGCAGGACTGGCGGGGGAGTAGGGGAACCCAATGGCAGTGCTTCAGGGGCATAAGAATACGAATCTGATTCTATTTTGTGATATTTACATACGAGAATTATGCCACTTTAAATGCCTGGATTGACAATTGCTGGCTGCTGGCTGGCAGCTCCTTCATTGGCTCTTTAAACTCTTCAGCGAATGGCTTTCCCCGCTCCGCCAAAAGCTGCCCCTGCATCCATTCGGCTTTCCGTTTGGATACGTGACGAATAACAAATTTGTTGGATTTTGCAGCATTTTGATTGAATGTTGCCTGCCCCCAGTCAGCCAGCGCTCTCGCACGAGATCCAAATACAAATATGATTTATGAGCCGCAGAATGCCAAAGAGTAAGGGCACGGCCAATGTGGTCTAACCAAGGGGAATTCCTACTGCAGATGTTGCAAACAATCACACACACACACACACACAGAAAAAAGTAAGAGAGAAACTTAAGAACTCTGGCTGCCTCTTGGCGCTGCCTGACTTATTACACATCCGTTTCCGGATTGCGTCCATTCCCTGGTCCATGATTATGCAAAAACCGATTCAAAATTATTATGCTGCACACTCTGGCATATCCTGCTGGCACCTCTCCAGCTGCTGCTTTTGGCAAAGCCCAAAAGGCAATCAAGTGTTGCCAAAAACCAAACGCAAACACGAAATTTCGCCCAAAAAATAATAAAAAAAACACAAAAAACCCAGAGGAAACCCAAAATTGCAAAAGAGAAAGAGAAAAAGGGAATGCGGGGGATGGGGGGAATGTGCCTTGTGCCGTGTGCCGTGTGGCATGTGAATTCTGGGCAATTGTTTGCATTGTGCAAGTGTCAACAGCATTTGCAATTCCGTTGCAATTTTTAGCACCTTTTGGGTGCTTTGAAGCTCGCTTATTGCATTTCCATTTCCCACCGCCAGCTGCCTTCCACTCTGCCGTTTTGTCCTCATCCTCGTTTGCTGTGAAAATATGGTAATTCCTTTGGCATCGAAGGTGGCACCACCTTCATTTCGTATTGTTTTTCAAGTTTAAGCCAACATTTTGACACTGGCATCCATTGTTCATGATTACATTATGAGCGTACATACCATACATACATCCATGTACATATGTATGTACTTATGTATGTGCATTTGAGATACTTTCAGACTTAATTGCCATTTTGTCTAATTAATGCAATCCTTTTTAATATAATCCTGGCGCTTTGGGTACTTCCAAATGTGCTCGTACATGCCCATTTATCCGGCTCACGTTGCACGACTCGCCGAGTGGCTGTCTGTTTCACAAAAGTGACATAAAAAATGAATTGCCATCAATCCAAGCTGGCATCAGTGAAGATTCGCAGCACACAAGAAAAGGCAACTAATTAGAGGCAAGAGTCGCGAACGGACAAGCGCATTAACTGAAACCGAATCTGGGCAAAACACCAGAGACTGCTGGCAGGATACTCTATCCCGATGAAGCCACGAGCACATTTGTCACACAAATGTGACAGACAGCAGATGCAGCCCGGTGGAAAGTGGAGCTCTTGATAAAGAGAGACATTCGTATGTGGCCCACAATGGGGGGATTTTATATTTCCATGGATACTCCTACAAAGGGTACAACAAATTAGAGACCCACACGCACTACTAATTTATACAGAGAGACAAAGAGAAGGAGGGAGAGCTGCACTAACTACAAGCATGAAGCTGAGAAATTAACGGTGCAGCAACTCTCTCTTTGATGTGCCCAAAATGAATGGGAGAGCCAGCAGACAAGCATCTTGTAACAATTGCAAAATGCAATTGGAGTCCTTGCAACTATCGGAGGTGTATGCAGGCTTATGCCACTCCTTCTCCACCAACGCATTTCCTCAATTGAATCGATTTGCAGATGCCACAAAGAGTTACACACAGGGTGGCAGCTGGTGGCAACATATCCTACTGGAAGAATTTATGCAGCTTACAACATTTCTATCTGGCAGCAAATCAATTGATTGGCCCAACACTTTTTCGGGCATTACCTTTCCCTCTACGCCTCTCTCTCTCTCTCTGAAATATTTAATTGCAGTAAAACTTTTGGTGTTTTTCGTTAATTTTATTACAATAACATTTTCGCTGGCACACACACACACACACACACACAACGCTCCTCTCTTGAACCCTCTCTTTTTCTCTCTCTTTTGGCTCTTTTGTTTCTCTCTCTCTCTCGGCTCTGCTTTGTTTGCAGCTCTCCTCGTTCTGGGTTGTGCTTCCCATCCAACATTGCGCACGAACTGCAATTTATAACTGCATATACGTGAGCCCCTGGCCCCTTGCCCCCTCCCTGTGGCATATAAACATTTTGTTAGCTGCGCTTTGGTTATGTTCTTCGATGCAAGGTGCCTGGCCAGGCACATCTCACATCCGTGAGATACTCGGCATTTAGAGGAGTGCCCAACCCACACCCTGCTGCCTGCTGCCTGCTGCTGTTGCTACAGTTTTTTCGAATCGCCAGAGCGCAAACAAACAAAAGGGTCGCGGCGGCTGAAGAACAGGCAAGGAAAAACAACAACAAAAAAGGGAAAATGAAAAACAACTTGCAGCGAAGAATGCCAACCGAATGGGCAAAAGAGAGATGTGTGTGTGTGTGTGTGTGTGTGTGTGGCCCATTCAGCGGCAGTTTGCTGGTGCAGCATCCACCAATATGTGGCGTGGCGTGGTGTGGTCTTGCAACAAATTTGCTGGCACAGCAGGCGAAAATATGTGCCAACACAGCACAGCAATCTCCAGGAGTGAAGAGTGAAGAGTGGAGAGTGTCGAGAGCGCAGAGTGGAGTGTGGCAGGGTTATGGTGGGTAAGGATACGACCATTTCGCTTTATTGGCAAAGTCGCAGATGGAGTGCCTCGCAGGGAGCGAAGGACCTGGCCGGCTCCAGAAACTTACGGCTTCAGCGCAAATTCCGCTTCTTCAATGGCTCATCCTGTTTATGTCTCGGGGGAATTTCCCTCGGAAATGGAACCGAAAATTGTGTAAAGGCAAATGTCTTATATGTCACCCCATCGCCTGATGAGAGTTTCGGATGCAGCCTGAGGTTGGCAATCATCAATCTTCCTATGGCTGAGGCTTAATTAGGCGTCCCATTTGGAGCCCAGGATCCCAGTGTACCCACACCATTGCCTGTGAAAATATTTGCATTCCTTGGTGGCTGAGGCTGAAGGTGTCTCGGGTCCAAGCACCGCCATGCATGGCTCCACCTAATTGGATTCTAAGTTAGCTGTTAAAGCGGGTAGGAGTAGTTGCAGTGGGAGCGGGTGCTGCTCGCCAGTGCAGGTGTTAAGGCGGTCGCTTGGGCTTGGGACAGCCAACCCCTTGGGCCCACAAATTAAATGTCATTCTCAGATTTCCCTAGCTATATCTGCTTCGGCTTTAATCCACTAGCAATGGGCCCCTTCCAATACAAGTTCTGGCAGAACACAGAGCAACGGGGCAAGCGGGCAACGAAATTTCAATTATATGGAAGATATCTCCAGCTGTACGTCCATCAGTTTCCATCCCTCCCTCTCTCTCTCGCTCTCTCTCTCTCTGTCGAAACATGCGTGTCAAAACAATTGTCATTCATTTTACTCAAGGCTCTGGGCTCTGCAGCCTCTGCAATTATGGGCCAATGACATGTGTTAACAGTCAAACCCCAAGCCTCCAGGCCGCTCTTGCTCGGTTCCATCTCCGCAACGTTGAACATTTCCGCCAGCCATTTTTGCCCATTTCCTGCAGCCTTTCCACTTGGAATCCATATGGGGAGCAAGGGCAAAAGATGTAGAAGATATGTACAAATGTATGTACATGATGCTGAGGCTAGTTCCACTCTGCTATCAGCTGCCTTGATTACGGCTGTCATATTATTTTCACACTTGAAATGCTGCTCCTCGCATTCGCATTTCTGCGGCACAAATCGATCCGACAGCGCGGTCATTATGAGCGTTGGCCATTATAAGTATGACACTTGGCTGTCACTCTTTACACGAGCCCTTACACGACGACCGACGAGTAGTCCTTGGGCAGCATGTCCTGCTCCAGAGGCCATGTGTGTGTGTTGGTTTTTCTAATATCCTAACATTCTTTCAGATGTCAGTAGATGGCACATCCGCCTCCTCCCACACTGGGCGGAGTAATTGATGCTTTTCCAAGGATTTTCGTGGAATTTCGTACAGATAGCAGGCCTAGCAGGCCTAGCAGGGGCATTCATGTACGCACACACAACCGAAACCGAAAACACACTCACAATTCCCCAAGATGCTGCTGATTCGAGCTAAAATGCTCATCGGAGCCTTCATCGTGCTGGTAAGTGCGGGTAGGACAAGAGATCATACCCAAAACTCAATTAAACAATGCTCCAACCAGATGCCAATGCTGACACTGGGCAGATCTACAGCCAAACTGAATGTAACCCATGCAGGGGATGATTACCCTGTCACCCAGCAGCAGGCCAATGCGACAGCAGCCACTCTGGAGACATCTGAGACAGCAGCAGCAGCTCTGGAAGCAACAGAAACATCCGCTGTACACCACAGACGCATCCTACGAAAGGCTATCGATATTCCAGTGATTGCGATGGACTATGAGACGACACACAAGCCCTGTGACATGGACATGCGCGGCATACGACGCTACATTCCGGCCTTTCCCAATCAGTGCATTTGGAGCTACAACAATCGCTACACCACCGAGGGCTACTATCGGGTCTACAAGATGTACCAACTGGAGGCATTCTTCTTTGGCCAGTACTACGAGCGTCTCAAGCGGTACGAAACGGAGCCACATAACTACAAGGAGCTGTGAGGCGGCATCCTGCAAAACTCCTCGAGTTTCGATTAACATTTGGGGGGGGGGGGGGGCATTGATTTAGTTTTCACATCACCCTTGAGATCTTTTTCCTCACTCATTGTTGTTCAGTTCTGTTCAGTTCAGTTCAGTCAGTCAGTAGTATTGTTGTAGCTAACTTACATATCGGAAATTAAACATGAACCCCAAATTGTATTTCATTTACTTAACGCTTATGGCGGAGCTGCTGCTTCTGGTAAATGCTTCCGCTACGCCCTGGAATATTGCTCATTGTTTAATTGCAGTCACAGCTACCCTATGCGGATGGCAGAAGTGTCTCAATTGCGCCAACGCAGCAGCAGACGATACAGGAGAGCAGCAACTCTGCGATTAGCAGTAGAAATTCCACCTCAACCCAGGACCAGCAGAGGAACTCCACAACCCCTTCAGTGTCCACCGATGAGACTTCTGTCGTTGTCTCCGTAACTGCAGCGGTGCAGCATTTGCGTCGCAAGAAGCGTGAAACGCGCGTGGATATTCCCTTTGATTTCTTCACGAATCACATGCACTGCGACTTCGATCAAACGGGCACCTACAAGATACTCGACTTCTTTCCCTTCACTTGCATTTGGTTGCAAAACAATAGGCACCAACACGAGGGCTGGTTTCGCATCTACATGCAGGCACAGATGGAGGCATTCTTCTTCGGGCAGTACTACGAGCGACTGCGACGCTTCGAGCTCGATCCGCACACCTTTGACTATCGAGAGACGCAAATAATCTAAGACTCTCTATACTAAAATTACATGTAGATTGTGTTCTCTAAGAATCTTTCTGTGATGATCTTTCAATGGGAGCTGGAATGTACACTCGAAAAATTCAAACAGTTGGATTTTCTGGTTATTCACGCACTGAGTTAGCTGTCTAATCTTTTGGGGGTTAGGCAACACACACAAAACCCTGCAAAACAAAAGGAAAACGAAACCAAAAAGCACACAAAACATGAAGGGGATCTACACATTAGCTCTGCTATGGCAGCTATTCCTAATGGTGAGTACTTTGAAGCTTGGCGTAGTCTCTAATGATCGAACACCTGCCCACTTTACAGGCCCAGCTGCCATTGGGGGATGCCAGGAGTGTGTCCATTGCTGCAATACAACAGCAGACTAGCAGCGGTGGTAACAGCAACACTAACAGCAACAGCAGCTCCACCGCGACCAGCAGTAGTCTGCCAGCAGCAACGCTGTCTGCTAACCCTGCTGTTAACTCTACAGCTAACACAGCTGTTAACTCTACTGCTCACCCAACTGATGACTCCTCTGCTAAAACTGCTGTTAAGTCTACAGCCAGCCCCGCTGGCAACGGCAACTCTTCTGCTTACACTGCTGCTAACACCGCTGTTAGCACCGCTGTTAACTCTTCTGCTGAATCTTCTTCTGCTGCTATCACTGCTCAATCATCGCGATCCACCATCAAGCACATTCGGCGGCGTAAGCGTGAAACTCTGGTGGACATACCATTCGATTTTCACACCAAACATCTTTCCTGCGACGTCGATGTGAAGTCAATAGACTATTTCGTTGATAGTTTGTATGGTTCGTGCATTTGGGCATTCAACAATAGGTTTGCCCACGAGGGATTCTGGCGCGTCTGGCAGATCTTTAGACTGGAGGCATTCATGTTTGGTCAATACCACGAGCGCATGAAGCGCTACGAGATCGATCCTCACGGCTATGTTTGGCCATTAGGTCAATAGTTGGACTACAGATATCAATAAAATGATGTGTTTAAACTTGAATCTCATGTCATGCGCAAGGGTGTGGTGGCTGGGTATACCCTTGAGTTAGTTGTCTGTACATTTCTCTCTCACTTGGTGAACGTCATTATTCAACACGAAACGAGTGCAAAATTCTAGTGAGACTAAAATTGATTGTGTCCAAATATGAAGTTGCCATTCAGGAGGATATTAATCCTGTTGGCCTTGCTGTATGTGGGGGTAAGACGATCAAAGACATCAAAGATTCAATTTCATCGTTAACATCCTCCCAATCGACAGTCTCTGCTGGTACAGAGTGCAAGGGCCCGGAGCATTCCGGGAGACAAACAACAGCAGCAGCCTGAAAGTACAAATTCCAGTGAATATGTCCTGAAAAAGGATAACGCCACCGATTGGGCCAAGGTGCGGAGAGATCTGGGGCAGCCCGTGGACGAGGAACCCGCACAATCATTACCTCAGTATCCATTTGCGAGCTCCATTAGGCACTTGGCCCGCACCAATAGTTCCAATTCTTCTGGCAATGCAACTGCCGAAGAGGCGACACCCTTGGACTTTAACACGTCGCATCTGCCGTGTGACTTGGATTCTGGTGGACGGGAGTCCGTTGTGTGGGCCTTTCCCAATCACTGCATCTGGGCCTATAACAACAAATACAACTCGGAGAAGGCCTTCAAGATCTACAAGATCTTTCAGCTGGAGGCCTTCTTCTTTGGCCAGTACTACGAGCGTCTGAAACGCTTCGAAATGGATCCACACGTCTGGGACTATACGAAAACGGGCGTTACCTAACAAAGCCGCCGCCCCGGGGTGGGGCATAATTGAAATTTTCTGTATCACCTTTGCATGATTAAATTTCAAGATTCCAGGCAATTTTCTAAGCTAAATCTATAGCAAAAGGAGAGAACTTCTAGCGGTAGATTTTGCAGCTACACATCCCCCCATCTGATCCCCAAATCAAACAGGTCTTGGCGCGCTGATGGAAAATTATCTGTGAATGATTGACCTCATTAGGCATTTCCTTTTCTCTCCTGCACGATTAATCATTGAACGACAATCGAGCAGGAGCAGAGCAGGAGCCTTCTTCTTCGTAACAAATTAAAACAGATTACAAATGCGAGAGCAGAAATTCGATATTTTGGTAATGCTTTTTCGCTGTTTGTTCGGGCGAAAACTGGGAAGGAAATTGAAAGCGTACAGCAGCTGTTCCACTTCCCACAACTGTCGGACATATATGTGCGCGTACTCTTCAGATTGAACCGAATTGAGTATTGAGTTACTTGTCACCGCTTTTTGGCGACATCTCAGACACATTTTAATTGCGGCAGCTTTATATCTCTCGGAATCTCTGATTCTGATGGACATAATCAATCAAATTTCAAACATCTCCCCACTGGAAATGTATTTTGGCCAAAAGCAAATAAGGTGCAACAACGCCCTAAGTGAATTGGATGGCGTGTTTCTCTTTTTTTCTCATGGATAGCATTTGTGTGTGTGTAATTTGTAATTTTGCGGATCATCAATCAGCTGTCGTCAGCTGTCAGCAGAACAGAGTGTAAGAGAGGCAGAGGAGCTCTGATTTATCGATGACTGGCCGAAACACGAGACACGAGGCACGAGTTTGTTCCTTTTTTCCTTTTAATTATACGCCTTTGGGGTTTGTGTGTGTATTCCTCTCTGGCACTTAAAAAACTACGCAAATCAATCAAAGGTACTTTTCCACAAACTCTGCTCAGAGGGAAAACTTACAAGGGATTTATCTACCTCTTGACACACGAAAGTACCCCTCCAGAATGTTTTCTCCGCCCCCCCTTGATTCCGACAGTAAACTTAATCAACAATTTTGATGTTTTCCCATTTTGTGTCTCGAATTAAACTTCAAGTTGCAGCAGCAGCAGTAGGCTTTGGTTTGCATTGCTTTTTAATTAATTTGAAATTAAAAATATATCAAGTGCACGGCAGGCACTAAAACCGAAGGCAAATCTCAGGTGAAATCTCTGGTATGCTGCAAATATTTGATATCATTAAAATTTCAACAGAATTTATATTCTCAATGCGAAAAGGCTTTCTTCTTGCTTCTTGCTTCTTGCTTCTTGCTTTTTATATATTTTTTTTTGTTTAGTGCTTTTCATAGGCAAAGCAAAACATTCATTGCTTTCCGTGGAGCGAGGCTCGAGTTTTATTTATTTATTTCCGGAAGCGTGCCCTTGAGATTTGGGCTTTCTCTTGGGGTATTCGCCACTCTCCACCCCCACCCAAGACACTCCTATAGATACACACACACACACACACACGCACACCAAAGAACATGGCTGTTCATTAGGTTTTGTTGCTTCTTACGCTTTTTGCGGCACTCGCGCGTGTCTGAGCCCTGGCAATGGAGTTCTTCAAAAGTTTTCATTGCTCTCCCCCCTCTCCCACTCCCACAACCACGCCCCCTAAGCGTGTCCTAGGCCATGGGGGCCCCTGTTGGCTTTCTTTGACCATCTGCGCTGTGCTGTGCCTCTCTAATGAAAACACAATACAAATTTTGCGCTTTTCTGCCTTCCCAAGTGGCTGAGAAATTGTTTGATGAGTTTGTCAGCTTGTGGAAATCGTGCTCAGTGCCTCTGCCTCTCCAAGTCCCTGTCCTTGGTTGCATACTTATTAAGCAAACTGTCTGTCTGTCAGACAGTCTTTCTCCTTTTGGTTGAATGTAATTAAGTTCCTTGGTCCGAGGAACCTCCACACTGCCATGCAAATTGCCTTATGGCGCGTTAATTATTTGATGATGTCACAATACACTCTACATTTTCCACTAGATCCTCAACAGTTGTTCAATTAGTTGAAGGTATTTAGCGCATAAAATATTTATTGCTTTGGTGGGAGGCTCGACTTGAATTTCAAACACAACCACAATTGATTCGAAGCCAAAATCCAGCGAAATCACCTGTACTCCATGTGCCACTTCTCTGGCTCTGGCTGCTAGTCCTTCCTCCAGCCAGGAAGAACTCGCTTTGAAACTGACACGGACACGTTGCATACACTTTCGTGGCGCAAATCTCATTTCCCTTGTGGCTGCAAAAGCCACTGAAAAAAGTACACAGCTCCCCTGCCCCCGCCGCCACCCTCTTTGCTTTTTTTTGTTTTTTGGCTTGCAGTTTGCCGGGGGGATAACCCAATTTGCTGGCCACTGCTCCACTGGCGGGTTGCTGCCTCTTTGCTGACGTCACAGTTTCGCACCTCGCACAACTTGCTTTCTGTGTCACACACACACACACACACACATACAAAGAGAGAGACAGAGAGAGGGAGAGAGAGAGCGAGCTGTACTGTGCGCTCTACATTATGGCCAAAAAATGGACGCAGCAAAACAACAAAATGCCATTGGAATGAGAGGCATAAAAAATGGTAACAAAATTACATACATCAAAGGTGCTTTGCTTTGCCTTGGTTTTTTTCCTCTTTTATGAATTTGAGAGTGTGATCTGAAGCGGCTGGGAGGGAGCCCGGGATAAGCCTGGGATCTGGTTTAAGGGTTGCTGCAGACCCCCACTTGAGTCCCCTACTGGGGCTGTCGCTGACCAATGGACCGTGTAATTTTTTTGGCAAGCATCCTTTGGAGTTCTGCTGCTGCTGCTGGCCCCTTTTCGTCTGACGATTGCTTTTCCATGTTACCTTTTCCCCCACGCCGCCACATCCACAGCCTCCACATTTGTGATGAATGTGCGATGGGCTCGTGCCTGCCTCTGCTCATCTCATCTCCTTTCTTCTCTCTTTTTTTTTTTTGGTCAAATAAACTTGGCAAATATGCGATGGCGGCCTTAGTTTAAAGCCAAAGCACGCGCCGATTGACATCATTAAGTTCGGGGCCAAAGGGACGCCAAAGGGGTTGCGCCACTAAATCATGTTTTTGGCCAACAAAAAAGTATGACAACAGCAACAAAAAACATTGAATGCACAACCAAACAACAAATGGCCCACAAGGGACGGCACACACGGCTAACGGCTACCACGAGTATATTATATTATAATCGTACATAAATATGTACATAAATATGCAGAGTTTTGATTTATGCAAAATAGTTCCATTTTTGGGGCAGCGATAACAAAAGAGTTGACCCGGAAAATTGACTCATTTAACCAGCTAAAGTATGTGGATGTAGATATGTGATGGCACATAAAAAACTATGAAAAATTACTGATCAAATGGGAAATGTGTGTCTTTATGCTGAGTGCAATAACTCTGCTGTGCGTAAAGAAGAATCTAATGGTAAATGAATATCACAAAATATGTAATTACATGTGTATCCCTGAGCTTCTTCTTTCACAGCAAAGAACGGTGAAGAAATGCCACATCCAACAGCATTTCAGAAGCACTTTCGAGTGAAGCATTCCAAGAAATGTATTATCCATCTGCCACTGCGTTGCATGCCCCTTAATGCTACTTTATTCCCTACTCGTATTGTATGCCCCGGCTAACTCTTGATGAATTCCAGCAGCACAAAACACACAAAAGTATTCATATTTATGCGAAGTCTCCAGCTGCTCGACGCCTGTTTCCCCAGACTGGATCTACTATAAACAAGCATGAAGACAGGCCGTAAAGTTGATAAACCAAAACCCCAAAAACATCCAAGGTATGTACATACTTTCCCCTAACCCATCTACACTCATCGTAGGGCTTGGCAGCTCTGATTCCCCCCTACGAAATGGGCTGCTGTTTGCGGCTCCTTCTCGCCTTGTTTGCACATGGTTATTGATAGTGCTTCAATCTGAGGAAATAATAAATAAATGAGCCTAACGTCACGGCTCATGTCGTTCGGGTTGCCTTCTCTGGAGTCTTTTCTGCCTTGCCTTAAGCACACACACACATATACATATACACATACATAAACAGACTCATTCACTCACGACATTTCCTTCTCCTGCTCCTGCTCCTGCTCCCAGCTACTGTTTCTCATTCGCATTTTCTTTGCCGCTCTGTTCCCCTCAGTTTCTCAATTTCCACCAACAGAGCTGCCAACATTTTTCACATTTTGCACGGTCTCTCCTTTGGCATGTGTGTGTGTTTCTATGTGTGTGTTCTGTGTGACGTATACGCAACGTGTGCCATATTTTTACATGGCCGCCAGCTCCATGGCCTGCCTGCAACTGACAGGAAACACTGCCTATGACGACTGCCGCCACAGGCCAACATTTGCTTCAGTTATTTAGCGCGCCTCGCAGCGGTGCACCAGCCTTCCGCCACAACATCCTTCTGCCTTCCACCTTTTCACAAAGAGCAGATTGTTTTTCCACCAACTCCTCCCCCATGGCTACGCCTAAGAGTGGTATTCTGTGCTCCCCTCCTTTCACATCTCAATTTGTAGACAATGTTGTGCAGTTTGTATCGGGGGCTTACACGTTTTCTTATTGCAATGCAAATTAACATTTTTTTCCCACTGCAATCGCACAGGGAGCAGGAAATGGGAACAAATTTCCTTACAAATGAGGAGTCAGCGGAGGCAGCCGCATGGCCATACGCGATTCCCGGCACTTGTGTAAAATTTCATTAACATTGCGTCTGTCCGTGCTGTCATTAAGTAATCTGTTTGATTCGATGCTTCGGGTTGGCGCTGTGCTGTGGCTCTGCTCTTGCTCTGTGTGTGCTCTCCACCTGCCCGTAAAATGCATTAATCAACTGTCTGGCAATTTACTCCACACACCCACGCACACACACACACACATGACTACAAATTAAGAGCTGGGCGAAAAGAATTTCAGCAGCCATATGTACAGAATATGTACATGCATCAGGGCTGTGCCATTATATGTACATATAATAAGTTCTTTATTGTATCTGATAAATATAAATGAATGGCTTTCGTTTATGTACAACACTTTTTAAGAGTTTAAGAAATTGAGAACTGAAATGGAGCCAAAGGTTATGCAATACATACATATATGTACATATGTACATATTTATGTACAATTTATGTACGCATGCAATTTATCTTCCCAATAAACTCAAATCGAAAGGGCATGGGGTCATTGGCTATTATTAGCAAAGTGTCTTAAATTACATAGTGGAATCTTATGCCAGAAGCCAGAAGCTTTATCTTTTTGTTGCTTTAACTTCTCTGCCTTTAAAGGGATTTATCGTTGGGTTCCATTTCATCTTGGGTTTGCTCTCTTTGACAGTTGCAATAACATTTTATCGCTTCCAAATTCTCTGGCGAAAAATGTACAGGCGACAGGGGGAGTCTGCTGGCCAAAAATAAAAAAGCGGGAGCATATTTTTTGACATTTTAATATTGGCAACCTTTTAAATATTCCCCCGTATGTAATGCCTCTCACAGTCTACCCCAAACCCATCGCAATCCCAGAGCTCTGCTCTACGCTACTCTACTCCCACGTCCACCCCACTTAGCTGTGGCTGTCATTGCTTTTAAAAACTTTATGACACTTTTCCGTTTTTTGGCATACACTCGAGTGTTGGTGTGTGTGCGTGTGTACATATGTAAATTACGAAACGCACATCGGGAGGCGTCAGAGTTTTGAGTTGAAGTTTTTGGAGTAAGGTCAAGTTTTTTGGGTATCCTTTTGCCGTGTGCAGATGTACTTATCTGCATTGCCTGCCAATCACAGTTCGCACTGTCTGTGTGTGTGTGTGGCAGATTGGCTATCTCTACGTTGGCTTTTAAGGTTATTTTCTATTCCATTCCATTCCAGCTGCTGCTGCTGCTGCTACTTTTATGCCTTCTCCCAGTTCATTGACGGTGTCGATGTCGATGTCGATGTCGTTGTCGTCGTCGCATTGCACATAAAACATTTTTATTGCTCATTTAGATATTTATGCGCAGTTTTATTATAATGAAAATTGTGCGTATGCGTGCGGTTTTTATTGTGATTGCATTGAGGCCAAGACCGCAAAGAGAGACAGAGAGAAACCACACACACACACAGACACAGACAGCAGACAGAACTGTGCGTCACAGTTGGAGAGTTATAGATAGAGAGAGAGAGAGAGAGAGAGTCTGTGCTGCTGCTATCCAAGTGTTTGTTCAAAACTTTCAACTGCACGTGTTTTGATTTGCCATCTCTCCTTCAATCTCCATCTCGCTCTCTCCCTCTCCGTTTCGCGGGTGGGCTCAATTTTACGCAGCTTTTGCTTTTTGCATTTTATGCGTTTTCCTTTTTTACGAGCCTCACGTCGACCACAAACACACACACACACACACACAGCACACACACTCGCAGAGAGATGGCAAACAAATTCAAATGGCAAATGTCGCAAACGGAATCGCGATCCAAGCTGATAAGTGCCCCACAAAATAAGGCAACAAAATTATTTCTTTGCGTTCTGGCAGCAACATTTAATTGCAAATTTATGTGTATTTGTGTGCGTGTGTGAGAATTAATGACCCTAACGAGCCTTGGTACTATATTGCCATTAATTAATTTAACTGGCAAATAACATTTGCCCCAGGGATATATTTATCGATGGGTTTACGCGCAGGTTCAAGTTTTACATTTTATACGCACAATTTTAGCACGCCATTCATGCAATTATATTATCCAATTGTTTATCGACTAAAATGCAATGCAAACAGAGAGTGAAAACTCTGCTCATATTTCAGTGGCCCTTGCCACGGTCATGTCATGTATCCCTACTGCAATCAACCGAACAATAATAATTATAAATCAATTAAAGGCATATTTACATATTGCCTTTTGTCATTATCCAGTTGCATACACAGATAGACACATGTACATATGTAAATCCATGCCAGAAGTGTGTGTGTGTGTGTGTGTGTGTGGTGGTTCTCTTGGGTGGAGCCATAAAAGCAATTTCAGACAATTCGACAACTGATTGACGGGCAAACTGTCATTGACACTAACCACAAGCCACGCCACGAGCTGCTCTACTCCTCTGACTCACTCAACCTCTCCACTCCACTCCACTACACTACTCTCTCTCTCTCATTCTCTGTTCCTTTTGCATTTACATCCCAGCAAGCTAATGGTGAATCCCGTTCCATGTCGCTCTGCATGTCTGTGCATGTCTCTGTGCAGGCGGCGGCCTCCGTGCATGCCGACAGACAAGATTAAGCAAATATTGCGGTAAATTCAATTTTCATTTCGAACGCACTGCCACGGCGCGACATCGTCAGCGGTAATGGCGCTTAAGTATTTCTATTTACTAAAGTTGCAAATTATATTTGTTGACAAATTCCAATGGAAGAGAGAGCAACGTTTGGAGACTCCTAATTAATGGGTAAAACGGAACATTTAATCTCCTTTGAGCGGACTAAACATAGAAATTAACTTCTCCTCTGTTGAAATTTTCATTTTCTAACAGCTTAACAAAGTTTTAATTCAATTTAACAATTTTCCAGGAAAACCCACATATGCTCTTTCATATGTATGATGTGAATGGCTGTACTTTTTCACCTGGGTGTGTGTGTGGCACGCATATTTGAACACGTTCCGTCACCAACATCTGGCCAGTTGTCTGCGAGATGGGGTCATCTCTGCGGATCCCTGTGGCACAACCATTTTGAGGGAAATTGCATCTATCTACACCACCACCCACCCACATATTTCCCCTCATTCTGGGGGTTCCAGCCATTACTGCCCCACTGCCCACGCACTACGCTTCGTACACACATATTTTGGTCCATTAGGCTCGTCTGTTGGTCTCTTGCTCTACCCCTCCCTCTGCATGTGTCCCCCATGAGTCTTGTTGTCGTTTGTGTCGCTCCTTTTGACTAATGCGGCCACTGGGCAGTCAACTGTTTTACTTTTCTCTTTCTCTTTCCATTTAGGTCTCTCTTTCGCTGTCTCTCTCGATCTCTCCTTCTCTCTTTCTCTTTCTAGAATACAGTTAGTTCTGTTGATTCTGCCCTTTGGCTAACAACAGAATGTTGTTTACTTTGCATATTAAAACCAAATGAGAATGCAGAAGCAGGGTCCAGTCCCAACAGCAACACAAGAACAGAAGGGAGGCCGAAATGATTGATACCTTTTCCAGACGTTAGATAAATATATTTTGTATGCCAAAATATGTTTAAAAGCAAAGCTTTTGACTAACTAATTCCCATTTTTCGTACGAATCTTTATTCGAACAGCGTTTCCATATAACTTCTGGCTCAGTTTTCCCGATAATAAATATAGTTTATTCCCCAACTGTTCAAATTGCAAGTGCCCCTCCTTCGAAAGGGTATAACAAAAGGACATTGTTGAGAGATCTGAAATGGACGAGTGGCTGCAGGGGCATGGATTGGACGGGTTGCCAAAGGGGTGGGCACTTATAAGGCTACTTTTTCATTTGTGACTCCTCCTCGCCCCCCTGCCACGTTAAACTTTAATTAATTATATACAGTTTGTTTGTGAAATTAAAAATTGTTGACTTTTACAGAATCGCAAAATGATGACGAGGACGATGGCGGATGAGACGGAGTCCAGAGTCCACCCGCCAAGTGGAAGGTGGCTTGGCTTGGCTTGGCTTGGCAGGGAAAGAGCTTTAATTAGGGAACCAAGAGCCCAAAGCCTATACACAGCCAGGCGCCGGAGCAGCGAGTGGGAAATGCTGTTTCTGTTTCGTAAGAGGCTTAAAGTTTTCAAAAAGGGAAAAGAAAATGTGTTGGCAAAATGTGAAAATGCTTTCGAGTGTGACGTCCAATAAGAATTAGTGGCCAGACTGGAGCAGTGGAGCATCCTCCTGCAGAAGGACGCGGCAGTCTGTCCTGTCATTTATTGCTGTTGTTTCTTTTTTTGTGTCCTTTATTTCCATTGATTGACGGGCAGGACACAGCAGCACGCAGAGGTTGGCAGGGACACGGAGCAAGTACATTTCGGTGGGCAGGCTCCATGTCTCCACATCCTTCATGCGCGCTAATTGAAGCACGTCGTTACAGCCGCAGAGGCAGGAGGCAGTGGCAAAAAGTTGGAAGAAGGGGCAGCAGGGGCATGTGGAAGACTCTGTCGAAGCAATGCACTTAATTGGACTACTACGAAGGGCAGCCAGCAGCAGCAGCAGCAAAGGACCACCGAAGAGCGGACCGATAGCTTCTACTACGATTAATTAGTGGTCCAAAACGAAAAGCAACGCTCCGGGGGCCACATCAGAGATACGCTTAGCAAAACTGATTGGTGTGTCCGTGATTGGGGGAACTATTCCATCTTCCATCTTCCATCTTAAAGTTTAAACTCAAAATTTACTTGAAAGTCTGTTAAGCCCATCTTCGATGTCTGGTGGCTGGCTCTGCCTCCATCTTCTTGTCATATTTAAGCGTGAAACTACCTTTTATCATTCTGATTCAGACTCAACCCCTTTGGAGTTGCTCTCAACTTGTGTGTGTGTGTGTGTGGGTGGGTGTGTGTGTTTAATGGTGCTGTGTGCTGCCAGGTGGTGTCACCATGGTATCTGCTCCATCCTAAGCCATTCCCCTGGAGGTTTTTTCCATGGTGTCTCGTCTCCTCGCTTCGTCTTACGCATAATTAGCGTTGGCGAAAGTAAACTTCTTAAGCTGCAGTTAAAAGCCATAAAACTTATGCGCATCGCTGGCAGTCATGTTAAATTCATAATTTCAATTTGAAATTGTTATTACAGCATCCCCCCACCCGCGGCCACCCGCCTGCCCCGTGGGGATGAGGAGGAAGCTCCTCTCACGTTCTTCCCTGATTATTATTATTGACAGTCGCCGCTGCTGTCAGCCGTTGGAGGCTGGCTGCTGCTGTGGCTGTTGTTGTGTTTAGTTCTGTCTCTGGCACTCATTTTAGTCTCATAAATATGCAAATTAATCATTTGCGGAAATTTACATATTTAATAAGTTGCTTTAATTAAATGTTCACGCACGCATGCCTTTGCAATCTTGCCCCCGAGAATCGCTTCGAAATCAGTGGAATATCCTTTTTCTTCCGCGTTAATGCCAACACTCGTTAATTGTGCTTCGCTGCAGTGATATCTTCTTCAAAAACACACACACACACACAGAGAATCCTGCATCCTGCTCAACAGCAAACCAAAGGCAAAAGGCAATGGAAAGTCGGGGTACAAAGGGGGAAACTTTTCGGCTGGCAACTGTTTTGCATATTTTAGGACACAGTCACGTTCCCATTCAACAGACAACACAGGCAACAGAAACGGCAGAAAGAAAATCTTTTTTATGTGTTCAACGAGAGAAATTTCGCAAAAAAAAAAAGCAAAGAAAGAGAGAAAATCCACAACGAAAGAAAAAGAAAATGAGCGAAGAAAAACGAAGCAAAAATGTATATTGTATGCAAACTGTGAGGCGCAGCGAACATAAATTAACATTTTTATGCCCCGCTGCAATGGAGCAGAAAGGAGTGGGCTAGAGAGGGGACCCTGGCCCAGCCCAGGAGTAGTGGCAGCATCCGATGGAGATGGGTCTCTTTTCTAATGCCCGCATTATTTACGAGGCAGCGTCCAAGCAACCCGGCCCGGCCCGTCCCGGCCCCCCACTGTCCACGTCCCAAGCTATGGGCCCCGCTCATTCACCATTTCTCCATTTCATTTCATTTCATTTCGTTTCCATTTCCCATTTCGTTTCGTTTCAATTCGCCTCGTCGCATTCTTTGGCATTTTCCTTTGACGCCACAAATAATTTTAATTGGTTTTCCCCCCCCTCGACCCACCCCCACACACACACACACACACACACACACACAGAGAGATGGTAATGACTTCTTATCTATATTATAGAATGAGTGTATGCCACAGTGCGTGGCAGAATCATAAGACCAGCAAAGAAGGGTCTCAATCGCAATGCAAAACTTTTCAACATATCGATTGGTGGGAACACTTGAGCTCGCTCAACTTTTGTGTGTCCATCGCCACAGATGGACAAACCAACAATGGGATGCAAAAGTTAGGACAGCTCTTTGGGTTCCTTACTTGCGAGTAAATACACTATAGATTCCACCTTTTAGGAGCTCCCTGTTTCCAGTTTTCATCTTGCAAACAATATTTTCAAAGTTTTCTTATCCTGAAATCGTACAAGGGCCACTCGGCACACACTCTTATGGCCATTATATGGCACTGTATCATAATTTTCTTGCTTCATCTAGATATATTTTGTATTTATTCATTCTATTAAACTCTGTGTATCTTCATCAGCCCGCAGGGGGACTAGACTGCAGGAAAAGCCACATTCGTCATCCCAGTTGCTGTCTGGCCCAACATCCCTTTATGCATATTATTAAAGTTTTCCCTGTATCTGCAAGTGTTTGTTTTAGCCACAATTGCAATTTGATTTGACTACAATTTGCATAAATGTGTGTGTGTGTGTGTGTGTGTGTGTGTGTGTGTGCAGGAGAGACACGAATTCATGTGTTGGCAGGGATTTCGCCACATTTGGATTTACCACAATTCCATGAATGATATGATTGGACAACTAGGGTTTTTGGGTTTTTAGCCTCCCCCAAAATGCATTACATAATTAGGAGAAATTGCTAAATATTTCATTACAGCTCTTACATACCTTTTTGCCAATGATTTATCAAATATTTCCCCGCTGTTTCTTTCAGCAGCTCTCAGTTCTCACTTGTGTTTTCCTCTCTTCTCAGCTCTTCCTTTCGTAGCTGTTTCTTTCGTTGACTCTTTGCTCTCCTTCGTTTTGGTTTAGTTAACCATTGTTTTTTAACTGTTGTTTTGGCTTTCACAGGCGCACACACTGACACTCACTCACAAATACAAACACACGCGCGAGCGCGTACACTTTCCCATATACACGAACACATATACAGATACAGACGCTGCGGCTGCTGTTGCGGCTGTGGCGGGGACGTGCGTCAAACGTTTGGGGCACATATTTCGGATGGAGAATTCATTAGGCATGCGGGAATTTTAATTTCACTTGCTCACACACACGCACATAGTATGTGGCGACATATTTCTCAAGCATTTTTGCAGCGGTGCCGAGGTGACGGTTGTGGGATGTGGGATGTTTCTCCTGATGCTGAATGTGCTGCATGTGCTGATGCTGATGCTGATGCTTATGCCGTAGCTGTTGCTGTAGCTCCTTGTCCTGCTCCTGCTCCCACTCCTGTTCCTGTGAATCCTAGTCATGCTTTTCGGTTTGTTTTTGTGGCGGCTCTGGCGTTGCTTTTCAATTTTCATGTGGCGCGTTGACCTTGCCGCCCAAGTGGAAATAACTATGCCACACACGGCACACACTCGCACGCCCAACACACACACTCACCACCCACCTCCGCACACACACACACACACGCACACACTAGCACTCGCGCTCGCACAGTGAGGCTGAGCGCACGTTGACAGCTGTCAAAAATTGCGTGGAAAGGCTGGAGATTTTTTCAACATTTTACAGCCTGCTGGTGGCAAGGAGGAGGAGGCGGTACAACACCGCGGACACAGGACAGCAGGACCGTGGCCGGGGCCGGGGCCGACAGGAGCAGTGCGATGTAGGCCTCCAGAATTTCCATAACGCACGATAGTAGGAGAGGGGAGGGCAGCTACTGGCAGTGGCAGTGGCAGCGGCTGCGTTGGCAGAGCCCTACGCGTTTAATGTTCAAGTCAAGTGCGAAGCTTATGCGCCCCGACACGTGCGCGTGAGTGCGTCGTCGTGTCGTCTCCAGCGGGGGTAGGACATTGAGCTGGGGGCTCTGGGTGCTGCCTTCTCTTTCTCGCCCGCACTCGGTGTTTTATTATTTCGTTCCTTCTTTCTTTCTATCCTCTTTGTGTGATGCTTTTGCCCCCCTGTATAAGCTCCACAACAGTCGTCCCTTTTGTTCTTCTCCGCTCCGCCGCTGCGATGACAAATTTTTCGTTGTCTGTGTACAACACAAAAAAAAATGGCGAAGGGAAAGACGAGAGGAGAGTATAGAAAAGAAGAGTTTACGGGACACAAGAGGAGAGGATGAGCGCTTTCCAGTTTTTTAACGGCCGCCGATATGATTTCTCACTTTCGCTTTTCCTTTCTTTCGCACTTTTGTACCGCTATTCGGGCTATTCTTGTATTGGTTGTTTTATCGTCTCTCTGTTGTTCTCCGCGCTCTCATTTTCTCTGTACCGCTCCGCTCATTCGTTGTTGTTGTTGCTCTGCTTTCGGCCCGTTTGCATAATAAATGTAAGCCGTTGGCGTTTTTTCGATTGATGGATGGGGCTGGGGGGCACCGACCCGCGTCCGTGTCGGCCTAAAACACACGTGGCGGAGGGGGGGCCTCAATATTTCTCTGCGGATGCTGCCAACACACAGCCACGGCCTGGCTATTCCGGCCAACAGCTGCTCACCAGCCGAAAATCCGGGCTCCGGGTTTTGAAAATGTACCGAACTTTAAGTTTTCCACCCGAATTACCGACTGCGGTACGCTCATCGAAACCGAGATTCCGTCAGCTGAAAATCGTGTCTCGTGTCTCGTCTCTCGCGCGATTCACTTGTTCATTGCACGGGCACCTTTTTCCTACTCTCAGCTGCTGCTGCCCGTAGTTTGGATTTTCCACCCGCAAGTTCATTCGAAGGGATGCGCAAAACTCACTCAAAGCATCCCAACCAACGCCAGCGACAGCAGCCAAGATCCAGTTGGAATTTTGAGTGGGAAAACGCGAATCTCACTCAAGAGACCAAACTTTGGCCTGACGCGTTGGAGAGAAATATTGAGATATTGAAGAAAGCTCAGCCCAAACGCTCTCTGCGCATGGGAAAACAAGAGCGTCAAAAGTGGGAACACCGCTAGTTTGAAAATTCGTAGACAAGCTAACGGTTTTTGGCGCGCACATTTTTGCTTTCGTTTATTTAGCAATCTTCGGGTATGTCGCGACACGGCTTCAATGCAGTCACATTACCCGTAGCGATGTATTGCACTTGTTGCATTTCTTCTTGCACTTTTCGTCGAAAACAAACAAAAGAAAAAGTATTAAAAAAAACAGTACTTTGGCAAAAGTCTCACAGTGTGACCGTGTACCGCCGATGAATTTTGCCACTAGCCAATGCAACAGAAACGCAGTTGGTTTAATTTAGTGCATTTTAGAACATAGCTATCGACAGAATGAATTATTCGATAGCCTGCTATCGAAATCTATGAGCGCGATTCTTAAATGGAATTTTTCTTTTTAAATTTTACATATTTTTGTACATTTTTCATCATCTACATAACTTCTCACGCTCCTTTAGCTCGCCCCCCTTCCTTAGAGCCCCCCAATGCAGAAGCAGAGCGGGGGGCACGGGGTGGGTTTAGCCACTGGAAATTAATTTCTTCATTCTGGCTATTATAATGATCCAATCGGATCCCATTTGATTGATCTGATAGATATGGTCCTTCCTTACGGAATGGCATTTTTAGTTTTCTTTGTATATTTACATTCTTATATTTTATATTTATATTTACTCCGAGTACCGGGTATAAAAATATATGAAAAACTGAAAGTCCCTGAGAGGGAACTGTTGTCAGTGCTTTTCTCTCCTTTAAAGGGAATGGCAAATTCATTTAGCTTTTCCAGCAACTTAGCAGGGCTCTCCTCACTGAATTTATATGCGTAGGCATTCCCACTTTCTGATCCAGGTAGAAGGAGCAGTAGTAGCGGCACATCAATTGCTTGTTGGTAGAGTTGCTTTTGTTACACAACTTCCCCACTGTATCCTCATAGTTGATGTACTTTAGGAAAGTCCTGCGGTCCGGCGGTGACCTCAATCGGCTCGCTTGGAACCTTTTTTATAAACGAAAATATTTAGCTGGCAGTAACTCAGAAAAAGAGAAATACTTACGGGTCTGCCTCATTCGGAGCGGTTCGACTCTGTTTAGCTGAGATTGTAACTCCAATCGAGTACCTGCAATGTATAAACCATTTCATAACTACATCTAAAATTCATTCAAAATTCAATTTACCTTTTTGTTTTCGATGGGTCCACCCGCTTGGCAAACCTAAGAAGCCTCTGCTGCAACGCGGGTGTCGCATCAAATTTGAAGTTATATTTCTTTCGAGTTTCTTCATCCGTGTAAAAGTCTTTGTAGATGCGTTCCATCAACTGATCATCCGTAAGACACGTCGCATCTTTATTTGTATTCTCTTGTTCCGTTTTCCTGAGCTGAACAAAAAAGAGCGGGATCCGTGTTAGGGATGGACCACTTACATTAGACTTTGCCAAGGTGAACTAACTTATAAGGTGACGACTTCAACTTGAGATAAAATGAAAAAATCTTAACATACCCAGCAAAATTGTTTCTGAAGAGTACAAAAATCATTCTACCGCAGCGGCTGTTCACAGCCTCCCGGCTGATTAGTGGTATATTCTAGGGCTGGGAAATCATCGAGAGTGGCCACAATCGATAGTTACCATTCTTGCGCTTAAGCAACTTTTCCATTTATTTGTTTAAAGTCCTGCTAATACCACAAATCTAGCTATTTCCATTTTATCGTTTTGCTCAGCTTACTTTTTGGGAATGAACAATCTTGCCGGCCGATGGTGAACCGTAACAATCGATGGTCGGCTAATTCTTCAACCATCGATAGTATCGTTTGCGCCATCGATTTTTCCCCCAGCCCTCCATAAATCCGTGGTCACACTGACAGCACCCATCTTGAAAAGTCTGCGAGCGAGTGGAGTTGGTGGAATTATTTAATTATTTCTGCGGCAAAAGAGTTAAAAAGTATATAAAATGTCGATGATTTCTGCACGCTTGGCGTCGTCGGTCGCCCGCACCCTGCCCAAGACGGCCGCACAGGTATTGAAAAATGCATAACAGCCACGGCGAAAAAAATTGCATATAAAAGTTATACATAATCGCCGAGAGAATTGGCATAGAAAAAAGTGAAGCCCAAGTCGAAAAGGATTATAAAGCAACGTCGGAGTACACTCCCAAGCAGAGGCACCAGCTGCATTGGTTTTTTCAGCATTTTGGACAAGAATTTTGTTACGCAATTCGGCAAAAATCATAAGCGGCCGCGGAGAGTGGCTCTCCGACTGTTACATAACTATCGCAAAAGATGTCCAAGAACTTGAAATTGCAATTTGGCAACTGAAAGTATAGTAATAGTGGGTATCAATGCGCATGTTGCATTGTTTGTGTAGAAAAATATTACATAATTTTGGGTACGTCGGCGCTGCCAGCCAGCGCAATGGCCAGTGCCAGCAAGTGTGAGGTTATGTGCAGGGCAGCAAGTGTCAAGCGAGTGATTGCGTGCGGGAGGGGGGTGCAGACTGGAATTGATAAAAGAAAAAAAATGCCCCCAAAGTTCATTAATGTATTTCTTGTGTCACACATCTCAGGAAAAACAAGTGTATTTCGTGTGTTGGTTACTCAACCTTAGACGGATCCCACGCACAGCACACGCCACACACCATCCTTACATAAGCAATATTGTTAGTAATTCCGGAACACAATTCAATTCTTACAGATTGCCTGCAAGGCTTCGTACCCAGCTGCCACTCTTGCTGCCCGTAAGTTCCATGTTGCCAGCACACAGCGCAGCGCAGAGATCTCCAACATCCTGGAGGAGAGAATCCTGGGCGTTGCGCCCAAGGCCGATCTGGAGGAAACCGGTCGTGTGCTTAGCATTGGTGACGGTATCGCTCGTGTCTATGGCCTGAACAACATCCAGGCCGATGAGATGGTGGAGTTCTCCTCCGGCTTGAAGGGCATGGCCCTCAATTTGGAGCCCGACAATGTCGGTGTTGTCGTCTTCGGTAACGACAAGCTGATCAAGCAGGGTGATATTGTCAAGCGTACTGGCGCTATTGTCGATGTCCCCGTCGGCGATGAGCTGCTGGGTCGCGTTGTCGACGCTCTGGGTAACGCCATCGACGGCCTCGGTGCCATCAACACCAAGGATCGCTTCCGTGTCGGCATCAAGGCCCCCGGCATCATTCCCCGTGTGTCTGTGCGCGAGCCCATGCAGACCGGAATCAAGGCTGTGGACTCTCTGGTGCCCATCGGTCGTGGCCAGCGTGAGCTGATCATCGGCGACAGGCAGACTGGGTAAGTGTCGAACGAAGAGCACCACGCGCACAGTTTCCTTTACCCCAAGTGCCTTTGCTCTTGCAGCAAGACCGCTCTCGCCATTGACACCATCATCAACCAGAAGCGTTTCAACGACGGCCAGGAGGAGTCCAAGAAGCTGTACTGCATCTACGTTGCCATTGGCCAGAAGCGTTCCACTGTCGCCCAGATGCTGAAGCGTCTGACCGATGCCGGCGCCATGA